CTCCTCCACCCTAGATTGGAGCACTGCCACAACATGTGACTAAATCAGTCAGGGTCACTCCAGGTGAATTGGATTGGCACTGAATGATCAGAGAGAGACAGAGAAAATATCTTTTTCTTGGGGTCCAGCCACAGCTCCTCGTCCCCAGCTCCCACAAGGGAAGCAAGAGAGACAGACAAAAGAGAGAGAGGGAGCACCTGAAGCCCTATTTATTGAGGGGAAGACACATGAGGCAAAGGATTGGGCTTCAGGAATGTGTAGCCCAGTCTCATTGGGTGACGCCCACTCCCAGAGGTTCATTGCCGGTGGAGGTGAGATCCACCTGTTTCCCCACGAGGTTGAAACCAGTCTCACACCTCCATCGCTCAAGGCTAAGGGTGTTCAGCTCCTAAGTGGCAGCTTCCGACAGAGCACTTTCTCTGTGTTCCACTCCCAACCTTACACCCACCCCATAGATCACTGGTTTCTGAAGGAGAGAGGAGCAAGAGTTGGGAAAAAGAGAATGAGGAGGGGAAAGTGGGTATTATCCACTGACTTGGCTCACAATCCTATGGGGGTTTTGCTTGCTTTGGGTATGGCCTCCAGGGACAGTTCTAGGAAAAAGTGGAAGGCAGAGGGAAAGAAGGATCATCAAATGACAGAATTGGGGATGTTCAGCATCAAAAGAAATACTGTTTCAGATTTTTCCCCTAAAGATGCTGCTAAGCTGGTTATGAACCCCACTCACTTATAGATGAGAGAACTGAAATCCAGCAAGACAAGGTCACTTTTCCAAGACTACAAAGTGAGGTGGACACAGAGGCCAGAGAGGAGCCTGTCTCCTGACTCACTCTGTAGCCCTCTCTGCAGTGTCACTTATTGCTTACACTCAAGGCGTCTGAGTCATCTCTGTGGATTTGACTTTCATAACAACCTCAGAGTCCACTTCCTCCTTTCCCTCCCTGGTGCCATCACCCCATGCCAGGCCTTTATGACCTCTCACCTGGACTATCACCTTCCAATCTGGTCTTTAGCCAGGTTACAGGCACTCTTCATCTGTCCCTTTCACCACTGCAGGATTAACCTAGCCAACACACACTCTCATAGAAGTGTCCCTGAGAGAAGCTCTTAATGACTTCCTGATGTCTAATTTATTAAGTGTCAGAAACTCTTCAGTCCAGTGTTCACAGCCTGCCAATGCATCAGCAGCATGCTCTGCACTCCAGCCTAAACCACCATATCCTCCTGCTCACCCACCTCCCTGCCTTGCTTCTTCTATCTCACCTGAAAAGCCCCACCTGTGACTCACCTAGCCACACATTTTTCTGTTTAAGTTCCTCAGTGGCTCTGTTCAAAAGCTACCCCCACCCGTGAAGCTTCCCTCAGTCCTCCCACCCTAAAAGTCTGTAGTCCTTATCACACTTTCTTTTGAACTATGGTTCTATATGTGCATATCTTATCTCTATTAGGCTCAGCTCCTTGAGGACATGGCTTGTGTCTTGTTTATCTTTTGTTCCCCAGAGCCTTGCACAATGGAGATACCAGATAAACATTTGATGAATTTTTAAAAATTTATTTATTTTTTATTTGTTCAACTTGTACATGACAGCAGAATGCATTTCAATTCATCATACACAAATGGAGCGCAAAATTTCAATTCTCTGGTTGTACATGGTGTAGAGATGCACCATTCATGCAATCATACATGTACCTAGGGTAAGGATATCCATCTCATTCAACCATCTTTCCTACCCTCATAACCCCTCCTCACCCTCCCCTTTGCCCAATCCATGCTTTTCCTCCATTCTTCCCATACCCACCCCTGCCCCCATCATAGATCAGCTTCCACAAATCAGAGAAAACATTCAGCCTTTGGTTTTTTGGGATTGGCTTGCTTCGCTTAGCATAATCGTCTCCAACTCCATCCATTTTCCTGCAAATGCCATAATTTTATTCTCTTTTAATGCTGAGTAATATTCCATTGTGTATAATATATACTACAGTTTCTTTACCCATACTCGATGAATGTTTCTATATGAATAAGCTCTGCTACAATGTACAGTCGTGTGCAGCATTACAACTTTTCAGTCAATGATGGACCAAGTTCATGCCCAGCAGTGGTCCCATGAGACTGTCTTGCCTAATGATGTCTTAGCTGTCATAATGTTCTGCACAACACATTACGCACGTGTTAATAATGATGCTATGTAAGGAAGTCTAGGCTATTCTGTGTGTGTTTTTTTGTCTTAATTTTTAACAAAAGCATTTAAAAATGAAAACAACAAATAGAAAAATCTTAAAGAATTTTCAGTTCTTCTTTAGAAAGCTTACAAAAGTATTCTTGTGTATCTGTACAATGTGTTTGGGTTTAATAAATATTATTGCAAAAGAGTCAAAAAGTTAAAAAATTAAAAAGTGCATAAAATAAAAAGTTATAGTAAGTTCAGTTCAATTTATTATTGAAGAAAGGAAAAATTTTAATACATATAATGAAGCCTAAGTGTGTGATATTTATAAAGTCTATAGGGGCATCCAGTAATGTCCTCAGCCTTCACATGCACTCACCACTCATCCAGAGCAACTTTCAGTCCTGTGAGCTCCATTCATGGTAAGTGCCATCCAGGTATACCATCTCTTATATTTTATATCATATTTTCACTGTACCTTTTCTATATTCAGATATGCATATATATGTATGTATAATTATTATTGTGCTGCAATTGCTTAGAGTGTTCAGTACAACACCGTGCTGTTCAGGTTGTTGGTAGGAGTGATAAGCTGCACCATATAGCCTCAGTATGCAGTAGGCTAGACCATCTAATTTTCTCTGAATACTCTGGGATGTTCGCATAATGACAGAATTGCCTAGCAACGAATTACTCAGAATCCATCCCTGTTGTTAATCAACTTATGACTATACCATTAGTTTAAGTTGCTGAGATGGTTAATTTTGATTGTCAACTAGATCGAGAGAATTCTGGAAATCGAATAAAGCAGACTGCTGGGTGTGTCTGTGAGGGAACTGTCAGAGGCAATTGAGGTGGATAAGTGAACTGAGTAGGGAAGACCTATCCTGAATATGGGAAGCTCAGTCCAATAGGCTGGGGGCCTGGATAGAACAAAAACTACATGTGTGCAAGCTCCTGACTCTCCTTGAGCAGGTGTGGTTTTCTCCATTGCTATCATCCCAGGATATCAGATTCTTCAGCCTTTGAACATGGATTTGTTCAAAGGAGCTTCCAGGGAGCTTCCAGGCCTTCAGCCTCAGACTGCATCATTTGTTTCTTATGTTCTGAGGCTCCCAACTTCTTGCATTGAGCTCTCCATCTTGCAGACGGGCATTGTGAAGCCCTTCAGCCCCTTATCCTATAATCCAATCTAATAGAACGCTGTTTTAATTATATATACATTTTATTGGTTCTATTCCTCTGGAGAATCCTGGTTAATACAAGTGTTATTCCTTAGTTTGCAAGGTCTTACACTTTTACAGTAGAAACTTCTTCTTCCCTAAAAATTATCTCACATATTGTGCTCAGACCTTCATAGTCAAAGTAATGATAAACAGAATTAACTGCCTAGTCTAGGTGACCAGATGTAAATCAGTAAAAAAATTTCATCAGTTTCTTTTCACTAAATAAGTTGCTAAATAAATATTGAAAAATATTAGCAGAATCATCCCAAGATCCCTGAAGTGTTTATGAATACATATAACTTATTATTAGGTAACAGAGCTTATTATTAGATCATCAATAAGCTCTCAGTGCACACAGCACTAAGTCCACACATAACCAGTCACCCTGATCTACCCTTTACTGATAATTAAGTACATTGGGGATTGTGAACAAAATGTATTCTTTATTCAAGGTTTTTAAAATCAAGGAGAAACAGGATACAAATTCATCGTGTAAAAAACAGTCATGATTTTTTCTTTCAGTTTTTAATCTCATTCAAAAATTTTTAAATACAATACAGTTAAACAGTTGTTTCACAAAATCCTGGCAAATATCAGAATCTATATTTATAACTTAAGATTTATAACTACAAATAGAAAAATCTTAAAGAATTTTCATTTCTTAAGAGTAGACCAAGAATATCAGAAATGTCCAGGAAAGCTCTAAATTTTAAATATCACCTTGGAGGAAAGAGCAGATGCACAACTATTTCAGAAGTAGATCAGACAGAGATATGGAAGAACTATGTTTTCATTTCAATTGTAGATGGCACTGATATCTGTCCCCTGACATGTGGCCAAAGGAAATCATGTTTCTGCTAGCCACAGGCCAGCTACTACTATACCATTACAAATTATTGTCATGAACTAAATTTAAATTTTTAAAGAATATCAAAATTTCTTTGTGTTTTTGGATGTGTATAGGGGTAAGGGAATAGGATGAAAGAGGGTTAGGGAGGAAGGAAAGCAACATGTAAAAGAATTATTAGTTGTTTTTTTTAATCGGATCATCAACTGGGTGTTTTTGTTTTGTTTTGTTTCAATTTTGTAGACATCTTTATTGTAAAAGGATTTGAATTCAGCTTTTCAATTGGAATTTCCCCCTGACTACAACCCTGGCAAATATGAATGATTTAATATTAAATAAGTCATTTTAGATGGCTACCTTTGGGAAGCCATGATAATGATGTTCAAGATGAGTTTTATTATTATTATTTATTATTATTATTATTATTTGTTCTTAAGCAGGTACTGTCAGGCTACTTTCCTTGACTCAGTTTCTGATTTCTCAAGACAGAAATGATGTTCACTGTACAGTTAGACTCTTGGGCCGCATTCTGCCCTTCCTGAAGAAGCCTGTCACCAAGTTCCTCCCCACTGCTGGCTGAGGCATGTCTCAGGGGCCAGGCACGAACATTTGCATTTGTTGTTGACAACTGTCAGCTTCTACCTCCTTCCCCTCACCACCCCTGTCTAAATGGGGTTTGTAATCCTCCTTCCCACCCACTCTCTTCACTCCCAGGGGCAAGAATGTTGACTCCTGCTCTCTGTCACCTGTCAGAATCCATCCTCCTGTCACTGGCTTATATGGACAAGTCGGCCCACTGTCACGTGACGTTGGGCTGCTAAAAACAGCTCCGGCTCCACTCTGAACGAGGGCCTGAAACAATGTCCTCCACCAAGAGAAACATAAAGGACACTTGATCATACAGTCCTTGGAATTATTTCCAGGAAACACACTCGCCAAGGCCATTCGGAGCACCCTTTCCCTGGCAGTGCACTCAGGGGACGGCCAGGAGATGAGTGCATCTCTGAATTACAAGTCTTTTTCCAAAGAGCAACAGACCATGGATAACTTGGAGAAGCAACTTATCTGTCCCATCTGCCTGGAGATGTTCACGAAGCCCGTGGTCATTCTCCCCTGTCAGCACAACCTGTGCCGGAAGTGTGCCAGCGACATTTTCCAGGTAGGCTTGTTTGGGATTTGGGGGTGCAAAAGATCCCCTCCTCTCTAAATCAAGTGCTTCATATCGAAGTCGACTCCTTTAGAAAACTTTACAGGAGAGCATTTATTTTCAATTTAAAATACAAATTTAGTTGTATTTTAATTCTAAGAATCACATTTGTTTTTAACAAAACCAAATCATTGAATTTGTTTCAAAGTCAAAAATGAATTACTACCCAAGACACAAATGTTGGTGTTTCTGGCTGAAACTTTTGGTTATGAAAACATTGGGTGGAAAAATGCCTCGTGCTGACTTATACATTGCAGTGCCTGTGGATGAGACTGGCTCTCTGCTCCAGGACCACTGGCACTAAAGCCCTGAGGGATTATCTTATGCCAAGCTTAAAGTGGAAGTCCATGTTGTTTGTAATCACAGAGTGTGAAAATAAGTCTCAGGAAAGCTCCCTGTGATGTGACTCAATTCCTCTTTCCTTGCTTGGCAAGAACAGGCCTCTAACCCGTATTTGCCGACAAGAGGAGGTACCACGGTGGCATCAGGGGGCCGATTCCGATGCCCCTCCTGTAGACACGAAGTGGTTCTGGACAGACACGGGGTCTATGGACTTCAGAGGAACCTGCTGGTAGAAAACATCATCGACATCTACAAGCAGGAGTCCACCAGGTAACACTCTTCCATGTGCCAAATCCTTTTGATGCTTGTTTGTATTTGTTTGTATGTTTTCAAAGGGTTGCCACACTGAATGATTGTCTACCAGAGACTGACTGTTTTATAGTAAAGGGATTTTCCAAGTCAGTCCTTCCCAATGGGACTGAGAGTCACTCATGGAAAGAGAGAAGGGAACTGGTGTTCAGCTTTGGTATCATGTAAGAATGAAGTGACTCATTAGCACTAATCCATCCCAGATGGTGATGCTGAAAGAGGCATGCAGTGGCCCTCCCCTGAAAGCCTTGTAGTACATACATTTTAGACATTTTTTTGCACATTACAGATCCTTTGTATTTCCAGACCCTACATAGCAGAAAAATTCCAGTGCAAATATAAAGTTAACAGAAATGGCATCTTCCAAAATAGCCCAGTTTCTAGTTCAGACATTCTTGCCCTTAAAATTGTCTAGCTAATAATAAGAAAAACAAAATCCTCTGACATTGTCACCAGTTTGAATCTATGAGAAATTCAAAGGCAGATATCAATCCTGGCCTTTACAGACTTACAATTTAGAGACATGGCAGGGGGAAAAATTAAGTCCAGGCTGTATATTATATTTGCTGTATACTTTTAGCATTTACTTGTTGATTGATTGTTATATACATCCATCCCTTTAAAAAAATGTTAAAGGCTTCTTATTTATGGAACCACATTGGCCATGCAGTTTCTTTCCTAGAGACAACACTGCAAAAATATATTCCTAGAAGGCACAGAGTGAAGAGCCTTTTCACAATTGTGCACATCTCAGTCCAATCCACAAAGCTCCGTAGCAATATGGAGACCCTCTAGAAATGGCCTCATTGAGATTCTTATTCAGGGTCATGTATTTATAGAACATCTGTTAAGTTTTAAGAGCCTTGTGCTTTAGAAGGAAAGCTGTTCTACAAATCTAACCTATAATTATCGTCATTATTATGGCTATTAGTTTCTGCTTGAGATTCAAAACTTAATTAGATAGTACCAGGATATAGATGGGATTGGGGAAGAAGAATGGTTGATGACTTATTGCAGAGATTGCAGCCACCTGTTTCCCTTGCTTCCAAAATCTCCTGACAAGAAAGTACTATTGTTGTTATCACATCAGAGATCTGATCTCACGGAATTTTGTTACTTAAAGTTCTTTTAAAAAATGAACCAATTAATAATCAACCAATTATTAAAATGAATTGCTATGATAGCTATTTTAGTACCTAGTACAGGAATTGGCTTATTTTGCTTAGCATGATATTCTCGCCTTACACCAGATAGTTGCTCTCTAAGCTTACATTAATAATGACATTAGTATTATTACATTAACTACATTAATTTTCTCACGGGTTGCCATAGTGGGAACTTGAAATATGAATAAAACAATACTTGTTACGAAATCCAGAGGAGAGGAGATGTTAAAACTTATGGCATTAGTAAAACCACAGAAACACTTGCTTACTTGAGCCATGAGCTCAGGTTGTTGCCGCTACCAAAAATAGTGCCAAGGAACTGGGAAGCAAATTGCATGAAAGGAATGAACCAAATTTCTAAAAAAATAAGCTCATGATCAAGAATAAGTTTGCTTTTTTTGATTATCAAATTTTTCCTATGTTGTTTCTTAAACATGAGACTTGCCTTTAGGGCATTTTAACTTGGTGGCCAAACCACAAGTGGCCCAGAAGGCTTGGCCACAGGTCTGGGCATGGAGTCAGTTGTTCTCTGGAGGCTGGAAGTCTTGACAGATCAGAACTCTGAACCTCAGGGTACATTAGACAACCCTGGAATAACCTTGGATAAGAAGAGTGAAATGAGCCCGGCTGTGGCCATTGGGGACGTCAAAGGAAAGGGGAGGAGGTATCAACAATGGACCATGGGTACTGGGCAACTCTGGCCTCTTACAGAACACCTAGAGACTGTAATTCTCCACAAATCCTGGCCTTATCTAGAACAGGGCATGGTGCTAAACAAGTCTCAGTTTGGGGGTTTGGTAAGAGAAGTAATTTGGTTAATATTAAGAATAAACAGTAATAAACTTTAAAGTTTAATAAGCAAAATTACTATGTGCTATGGGTCAGACACTGTTCAGGGTACTTTATGTGTCAATCTTGTGTGATTCTTTCCTACACAATCCTGTGAGGTGATACTGCTGCTGATGATGATGATTATTATTATTGCCCTATTAAAAGTCTTTATTATTTATTTATTTATTTTAAAGTTTGATAATTGTTTTTTTATTTGTTCTAATTAGTTATACATGACAGTAGCATGCATTTTGACACATCATATATAAATAGAGTATAATTTCTCAATCTCCTGGTTGTACATGATATAGAATTACACCAGTTATGCAGTCTTATATGCACATAGCATAGTAATGTCTGATTCAGTTCACTGTCTTCTCACTCTGTCTAATACAAAATACTTCTATTCTTCCCTAGGCCCACCCACTTATTGTGAATTAGCATTTGCATATCAGAGAAAACATCCAGCTTTTGGTTCTTTGGAATTGGTTTATTTTGCTTAACATGATATTCTCCAGTTTCATTCTTCTTAAGGCTGGGTAATATTCCATTGTGTATATATACCACATTTTCTTTATCCATTCATCTATTAAAGGGCATTAGGTGCTTCCACAGTTTAGCTATTGTGAATTGAGTTGCTATAAACATTGATGTGGCTGCATTACTATAGTATGCTGATTTTAAGTCCTTTGGGTATAGAGCGAGGAGTGGGAGAGTTGGGTCAAATGGTGGTTCCATTCCAAGTTTTCTAAGGAATCTCCATACTGCTTTCCAGAGTGGTTGCACCAATTTGCAGTCCCACCAGCAATGAATGATTGTGCCTTTTCCTCCACATCTTCGCCAACACTTATTATTGTCTATATTCTTGAAAACTGCCATTCTGACTGGTGTGAGATAAAATCTTAGAGTAGTTTTGATTTGCATTTCTCTAATTACTAGAGATGTCGAACATATTTTATATATTTGTTGACCAAATGTATATCTTCTTCTGGAAATGTCTGTCCAGCTGCATAGCCCATTTATGATTGGCTTGTTTGGTTTTTTGATGTTAAGTTTTTTGAGTTATTTATATATCCTGGAGATTAGGGCTCTACCTGATGTGCATGTGGCAAAAATTTGCTTCCCAAATATAGGCTCTCTCTTCACCTCATTGATTGTTTCTTTTGCTGAGAAGAAACTTTTTAGTTTGAGTCCATTACATTTATTAATTCTTGATTTTATTTCTTGTGCTTTAGGAGTCTTGTTAAGGAAGTTGGGGCCTAATCCAAAGTGATAAAGATTTGGGCCTACTTTTTCCTCTATTAGGTGCAGAGACCAGAATAGTCAAAGCCATCCTTAGCAAGAAGAGTGAAGCCAGAGGCATCAGAATACCAGACCTTAAACAATACTATAAAGCCATAGTAACAAAAACAGCATGGTGTTGGCACCAAAATAGATATGTAGATAAATGGTACAGAATGGAGGACTCAGACAAACCCACATAAATACAGTTATCTCATACTAGACAAAGGTGCCAAAAACATACATTGGAGAAAAGGTAGTCTCTTCATCAAATGGTGCTGGGGGAACTGGAAATCCATATGTAGCAAAATGAAAATAAATCCCTGTCTCTCATCATGCACAAAACTCAACTCAAAGCCCCTTGCTTCTTGAATCCATGTCTTCTTCTTTGTTAGTTTACTCTTTTGTTTTTGTGGAGCACATCCTTAAGCAATCTCTTAAAATATACACAGTCCTCTTCTTTTTAGCTTCCCTTAAATGCCTGTCTTCAGGATACCTTGTAGAGGTTCAACTGCAGCTTCAGGCTGCAGTTTCAGAATCTTCCCAGAACTCCACAGCTCAAGTCAGCTGGCTTCTTGTAGCATTCTCCCTTGTAGGCACTTAGAGCTAAGATGTAACTCAAGTAAGTCACTGTTCCCAATTTCCAACATTTGGTGACATCTCTCATTTGCCGTCATCTTGCTTACGTTTAGTCCTTTATTGATTTATACCTTTTTATTTCCTTATCTCATTTTAGGGGGATTTCATCAGGAAACATGAGTACATGCCTGGGTTCATTTTGCCATATTTAATTAGAAGACTCTTGGTCCAATTTCTAGACATAAGTAAAAACTGAGACCAGAATAGATTGAGTAACTCACCTAAGGCCACATGGAGAAGCCGAGGTAGGATTAAGCTTTAAGTTCAGTACAATCTTACTGCCTGAATCACTTCACCAAGACCAGACACCTACCTTTCAGTAAATGCTGGTGTGGTCCCCACAGCCTCCGAGATGGGCACGAGCAGGTACAGGTTCATTGCATCTAGTTTAAACAGCATGGCTGGGAGTCTCTGCCAACATTTGACACTGACCTCTGAACCACGACTGTGAGCTTGGCTACTCACCTCATAAAAATGCATTCACATCTTTATTCTGCATGCCATATTTGTCCCAAATCTGTTATTTCTTGTAAGTTGTCCAGAGGTTTTCATTGTATGCTCATTTTTAAGCCAGTGATACCCTTAGTCCTGTATTGACACCTAAACAAGAAAAACCTAATAAGGAATATGGGAAGCAGCTCTCAGTATATTGTCGCATCATGAAAAAGAAGAAATTGAATCACAAACAAAAATAAGCACATATCCTGATGACTGTTTCCACATGTTCAGTACCTCCTATCCTACATATACCTGTGCCTGTAACACCGTCTCTGGTAACAACAGAACAGCACCTGGGACACAGGCTGCCCTCAGGAAATGCTTGGGGGAGGTGAATGCAGTAGCTCTTCCTGTGCTGTTTTCTAGTAGATGTGCACCAGACTCTTGATTAGTTCACATTTATTACAAGATAGAGACACATGGGAGGGAAGGTTTTGGAGGTAGAGATGCCTTTGATCAGACAGAGACCAGTTTATCAGTCCTTATCTGTAGGTAACACCCAGAGGGCTTGGTCATTTATGACTCCTCAGGATGTTGTCTGGTCTTTCCCTTTGCCAAATGGGAGCCCATGTTCCCCATGCCTTCTAGAAGCTGTGTGGTGATATGTAAAGCTCAGGGTACACTGTCCACCAGTCAGGCAAATTACCTTTTATTTTCTTATTCATTCAATAAATATTTAAGGAGCCCTCTCCTGTATGCAAGTTACTGTTCTGGGTACTGGGGAATCCAGCAAAAAAGAAGACACATCATAGCCCCTGCCCCCAAGGAGCTCACATTCTAGGGGAGGAAATAGGCCTTGAAGGGAGCGTAATCTTCCCAGTTATGGGGTTATTTTTCTTGTTTAATTCCCAAGCATATGGCCAAGTCAGGAAGTCATAGATTACTCAGGCAACACCAGTTACAACCAATAACCACTAGCTGCTAAGCTGCTATAAGACCAGACTGAAATTCTTCTTGCAAACATCAGATTCCAAAAGCTTAAAGCTGGAAGTCCATGCAATTTCCCTACCAGACATGGAGATTTCCTAACATTTAGTTGCCCCAATCCAAATACTGGACTTTTGCCTAGTGACTTATAGAGGTATACAGCAAGTTCTCCATCTTCTTCTGAGTTCTAACACTGTAGTTAAATATGCCACATATCAGCATTAATTGTTTTCAAACATTTTTATTTATGACTCACAGTTGGAAGTATGCTTTTCATTGTTAATATTGACCAATTACATATATGGATATGTATGTATATATATAATTTCATATAATGTGGGTTTTTTTGTGTGTGTATGCCTAAAACAAAATTTTACATATCAGTACTTATTCTTATTTCATATAATGCACAGTATTTGCTTTTCAATTTTATTTTAACTTTAGCAATGCTAGTCACAACCCCCTAAACTGATTTCATGCCCCTTAAAACCTGTAATTTTTAAGGAATGTGATTCAATAACAACTGAGAAGAAAGTAGTCCCAAATCTGAAATGCTTCTAAATATCTATGTGGTTGGGACTATTAAAAATGCTCTTGGGTTTAGAGTTAATAATTTTCATTTTTTTTCAAATACTTATAGAAACTATTAACAGTCTTAGTCTTTAGATAGAATACATCAGAACTCCTGGATTTTGTATAAGGAAGCCACATCCACACTTCCCTCTTATGTACTTCTAACTTCCAACCAGCACCTAGATTAATAATAAAAGAAAACTTTGGCTCTCCCTAGCCATCTTCAGTTTTATAGGTGGGAAAGGTGTTTGCCAAGACCAGAGGCTGAAGGGCTGGGAGTGAGCTCTTCTGCTGACACAAACTTGATATTTAGCTTATCAGCAACTTCCCCTTCTTACCCATAATAGGAAAGTGTCTCATGAGAAACTTGTGAGCTCATGGGCACAGAGCTGGAGCACATTTCTGATGGCTGGCAAGGGCCCAGCATTCAACTTTCAGGAATTTCACTAGACAGTTTTAAAGCTTGAATTGAAATCAGCCATGATGGAAATACACTATGAAAATTGATAAATGCTACAAATCAGTGTCTCCAGGCCCCAATCCCCTCGACAAACTGGTTAAGAGACTTGTCAGCACCCACCACTAACTTACAGGGAAACTGAACTCCAAGCATTTGGAGTACATGAAAGAAACCCCAGCAGTCTTCTGGAATAGGGTGGCTGGGGTTCAGGGACCTGTCTCTGCTCTGATCCAATAAAAGTTGATGAACATTTATCCGCTTACTTCCTCCCAGGCCAGAAAAGAAGTCTGACCAGCCCATGTGCGAAGAACATGAAGAGGAGCGCATCAACATCTACTGTCTGAACTGTGAAGTGCCCACCTGTTCCCTCTGCAAGGTGTTTGGTGCACACAAGGATTGCCAGGTGGCACCCCTCACTCACGTGTTCCAGAGGCAGAAGGTAAAGGAGCCATTCCGGCTCTTCCTTCTCAGTCCTTTTCAAGTGTTGGTGTGGTCAGCTCTGAGCTGGGGAAGGAGTCAACCCAAGCCATGCAGGGCCACAGGGCCTTGGAGGGCATGTGCAGAGGGCCCCTCAGGGGAAGATATGGGACAGTTGGTGCACACAGAGCCTCATGTCAGATTCCCTGCAGGGTGGTAGAGAAGACCAGGGAGAACAAGGATACTGAGGTTCAGGAACAGATGCAGAAGAACAGAACCCCAGATTTTGTGCCTTTGGGAGGTTGCTGAAGACAAGCATGTTAAGGGGCCAGGCCCAAGCTCAACCTGCTTACAATTATTGGAAGTTTAGATTACAGATAAGAATAAGAATAAAATAAGAATTGCATGGACCCGCCATTAGGAACTCCATAAGATAAGAAAAGGGTGGCTTTCCCCGCTTCCAGTCACAGAATACTTTTCTTCATTCACCAAGGAAAGTTCTTTTGCCCTCTGTAGATCCCAGAATAGTGACATGAAGTTACTGAGCAGCTTTAAAACTTTGCCTCCTGTTGGGCTTCAGATTGCCCAGCTTCTAAAAGCCATCCCAAGGATGGTGCATCTCCCTGCCACACCCACCCAGGCCTCCACCTCAGCCCCCTCGTTCTAACCAAATAAAGTCTCCACATCAGCTCATCACTAACCTGCCAGCCTGGTTTCATGCAGGAACTTGTGAGAACTTATCCCTCTGGTGCAGATAAAAGTGGGGTTGGAGCACTGAGACTTGCAGACACTCTTGGACTGAGAATTCGAGCAGCTCCACCTCTCGGTATCTGTCAGTTAGAATCATCAACTCCTCGTTGGTCTGTGAAGATCAGGGCTGAAATCAAATCTGGAAGTTGAACTCGTCAGGCAACACCAACTACCACCAATAACCACTAGCTGCAAAGAAAGAGGATTTTGCACATTTATTTTGCAAATTTATTTTTCAATTTACTTTTGACTTATTCCCCCTTCTCCTTTCCTCCTGCCCTACACCACCATCTTAACATTATTTCCCTCAAAGCCCTGGTGACTTGTGGGAAGGGGATAGGGACAGAAGGTGGGACTCTGTCCTGGCTGCTATTTGGTCAAACCGCTTCACTTTTACCTGATAGGATTGTGTATTAGCTTCCATTTGAAGATATGATTCTTCAGCTTTCAGATGTTTTACAACTATTGTTTTGATCCAGATCTCCCATCTTAAGTAAGAGGAAATTAGGGTCCAAGTTGAGTACATGTTTTGCCCAACTTTTTTACAGAGTTGGACCAAGCATGTAGATTTCCTGTGTCACCATTCACTGCTCCCTGCAGCTCCATAGTCAGAAATGGGAAGAGGGTAAAATGTTTAGAGTTCCTCATCTTAAATATGTTATTCTCCATAGCTATAATTTCAATGTTCTTCCTGTTTTCAACAGAGTCACAGTCTCCAGTGAGAATGTGAGGAAAACTATGAAATCCCTTCCCACACAAATGCATCCCTATCTGAAGGTGGGCTTGCAAGATCAGGAGGTTCACAGGTTTCCCAAGTCTCACTGTTATTCCTTTGGAATTGCATGGACCCGCCATTAGGAACTCTATAAGAACAATACTGTGACTTAATCCACACTCTCTAGTGACTAGGAAACCTGGCCCCCAAGATCTTGAGTCCCTCTTTTCTCTTCATCAGTCAGAGCTCAGTGATGGCATCGCTGTTCTTGTGGGGAGCAATGATCGAGTCCAAGGGGTGATCAGCCAGCTGGAGGACACCTGTAAAACCATTGAGGTAAGTCAGGTGACTCCCAGGGAGGTGAGCCTACAACTCCTGGGGTTTGTAGCTTCCTCAGTGCCCCAGTAGAAATCCCCATCCTGCCCTTAGTTCTTTTCTAACAGAATGGGTTCCTTCCTGATATGTCTCTGAAATGCTCACTTCCTGGCACATAAGAGAAATTGCCACATGAGTGAAAGAGGCAGATTTTACCACAATTACTCAGGTGGTTGTTGTATGTGTTGCTCTTCCTTGGTCAACTCCTTTTGAAAGATTAAGCAAGGAGAAAAACCAATTTCCAGTTCATGGAAATGAGTGTTACTGCTACTCCTGCAAACCTTCTTGGGGTAAATCCTGACAGTCTTAAGTCATACTAGTAAAATGCCTATTGTTTTACATGTACGTCTGTTAATTTTATGAATGGCATGTTGCATTTTTCTTTCTGCTTCTTTTTTTAACCTAAGAATTATGTTCTTAAGATCCGTTAATATTACTATGAGCATGTATATTATATATCTAAATATATATTACATATTTATACCTTTGCATTATATATATATATATATATATATATATATATATACCTTTAAATAATAGAATTGGGGGGTTTTCTTTACATATTGCTCTATCTCACATTTTTATAAAGTAAATCTGAAATATTTTATAACCAGTAAAATAAAAAACAAACGAATGGTACTCACTTTATAAAGTTGCTGAGAGGAATTTAAAAAGCAGAATGCTTAGCACAGTACCTGGTATGTAATGAATGACCTGTGAAAACTCATTATTATTTTATCATTAGAAAGACCCGTTCTATTAAGAGCTGAGGGCCATTTCCTAGATGATGGCTTCAATTGTCTCATTTTAGATCTACACATCATTAAATCTCCTTTCTTCTCCACACTCACATCCTTAAAAAGACCCATGATAAATCTAGGATTCATTTATAAAGAAATGTTTTGTTCTTGATGAAGAACTCAAAAAGAGTCAGAAATGGGCAATATCTACTTTTTCCTTTGCACTTATTTACAGTAAAGGTCAAATACAGTTTAATCAGTAGCCATGGATTAGGACAGACCACATTGAATCTGGAGTGTTTAAGTAGGAGGCTGTTGCTTCTGAGTGAGATAATCTGCAGATCCCTGGGCCTTTTTCAGAGATGTCTGTGAGGTGGAACTGGCTTTCTGTCTGAAACTGAGAAAAACCCTGTGGGTCACATTGGAGCCTTGAGCAAATGCAAACAACTCAATTCCGGCTCCTTTAAGCCAACATCAAAGGGTGGCAAGAGATTTGACAACAGGATTTCTTCACAGTGACTGGTCAGAATCAAAGTGGGAAGCAGCTGTTTCTAATTATGCTGAGAACAAGACAAGAAGGAACAGGTTTCAAGTTAATTCAGCAGAAGGGAGTTAGGGCAGATATCAGGGAGAACTTTCCAGAAGCAAAGGTCAGGATCATTACCCCATTCTTCCTGATAATGACATTCATTACCTGTCACACTTTTATTTTCACAGCTTACTAAAGGAGGGTGTGTAATTGCTCCCTGCAAGTCTGTTTTGACCATCCCTTTTTATCTTTTTATGTTTGGGATTTTATCTTAAGGAAATAGGGAAAAAGCATAGAAAGTGTTATATATATGAATGATACATAAATATCAGATATTTATGTATCATTCACGTATATATGTTTTATATATATAATAGGATGTATCTATATACATAATATATAAAATATATAAATAGTATAGGATGTATGCATTCCTATATAACAACATAGAATGTGTATATTTATATCGAACCTTCTGTACAACCATGGGAGGAAAAACACCAGAAAGGCTAAGACCTTTAAATAATGGAACTGAGGGTGATTTTCAATGCCTTCTTTACATATTTCTCTATCTCACATTTTTATAAAATAAGTCTGACATATTGTATAATCAGTAAAATAAAAAACAAATGAATGGATATGGTGTGGACAAGCATGGTTCTTTCAGATCAGTGTAGGTGGCTCATCTGGAGATGTAGGGATTGCCTCAGAGCACAGTGGAGGTCTCTGACTTCCTGGTTCCAGTCCTGTTTGAAGGGCACCTGAAGACAGGAACACCATCACAAGAGGCCACTTCATGCACCTATGGTTTCCAGTAGAGCCAAACCTGCATCCGTGAGCAAAACCTCAGAGGTTCTGCTTCTCACCAGCCTGCAAAGCAGGACAATGTAGAGCAAACCAGGTCTTTGGGCTCTGAGTGAAATGGTTCCACTTTGCTCAGCAGGTGACTTCTGTAGCAGGGATGTGGAAACAGAGCTCCCCTGTCTCCTGTTCTGTCTGGGACTGTTGTTTCTCTTCCTGGCTTTGCTCACCACCTGCCTGGAAACATTTTTTGAGAAGCTATTGGTGGTTCCTGGGGGTGGGGAGTTGTTGTTAAAGAATTCTCTTTTCTGATTGGTGAAGGACTCCTTAGGGATAGGAAATGGAGTAGCCCCTGGGGTGGGCACTGTCCTTCCATAATTACTTCATCTCTCCACGGGACACTGACACCTGCCCTCTGGTAGTGGTGCCTGTTCCTTGCACATGTCTAATTTTGTCCCTGATCATGTAATGTCTTGCCTGGGGAGGCTCCTGGCCAGGGATCTGCACTGGAGCATTGCTGAGCTTAGGGTAAATCACATCTGGATTCCTTGTTATTCTTAAAAAAAAAAAAAAAAACCGCATGCTGTTGACATGTATTTACATTGATGATGAGAACAAATTTGAGGGTGGCTATAGTTGTCAAGGGGCAGTATGGGCTGTCTTGAATAGGGAATGGTATTTCCCCTCTGCTGTGAGCTATGGTGGAGCAAAGGACCCCTGAGACTTAGCCATTCCAGATGAGGGTAGTCTAAGATATTGCCTGAGTTTTGGATTGCAGGTTGACCAAGGTCTTCTGAGCTGTTCTGGATGAGCCTAGAATGCTCTGGACTTCACTTGCTTTTCCAGGCCTGCAGATATTCTGAATTGGGCTGGAACTGGGAAGGGGATTGCTCACAATGGTGAAGTTCTCCTTGGGAGGAACTCTCTACTTCTGGGAAAGCATGCTTCACTTTCATTCCTCATCCCTAGAAAACATAACCTCTCTCTTGTCATATTTACCAAGGGCACTTATCCTATGTCACTGGATAGCTCAAGGAGCAGGCTGGTAATAGTATCCCTCCCAATGGCAAACAGGCACTTGGAAATAATACTGTTTCATATGAGTATCTGTCTAAGGGAAATTGCCACAAGTTGAATTGTAAAAAATTAATATTGTTCCCTATATCTGAAAATGACAACTTTTGTAAATCCTCCAGTAATTTTGTAAGAACAGATCCATTATATTTCCAAAACAGTGATTTTTTTATTGATAATAAATAACAGCGGAATACATTACAATTCTTATTACACATATACAGCACAATTTTTCATATCTCTGATAAAAACCGTAATTTTACCCCCAACTGCTTTTCCTCATTTCTGAAACATTGTCCATGCAGGTACAAATACAAAATAGGAATATATATATATATATATATATATATATATATATATATATATATATATATATAATTTTAATAAGTATGCCAGAATTTTGAGACCATGTTTTTAATGCAAGATAATATGCTTTTTCAAAAGAACAGATTTAAGAGTATTCATTTTTGTTCCATCACTTAATTATGGGAGGTGGGGCAAGTTTCTTCAGCTTGCCGACCCTCCAGTTCCTCAGCCTTACGGTGGGGATGATAATACTCTCCACAGTGTTGTGACAATCAGGTTTTGGGGTAAGAGCATGTGCCTGGGGCTTGTAGGCAAGGCCTCAGTCGCCCTCAGAGTCAGCTTGGAAAGCACATACTTTTACTGACAATGCAAACAAACCATCCCCTTACCACTGGGACTTGTTTTAAGTGGTGCCAGAAGACTATCAAGGTCCTGGTTAATTGTAATAGCAGGGCTGAGCAGCTCCCTTCAGAGGGGAAAATTAAAAATGAATGGAACTAGATATTAGCTCTATTATTTATCCAAAAGGCTTTGTGACAACCTGAAATATTGTCAACCAAGGTAGACCGAGCGGCTCCTGGGAAGCAGGCTGCCTATTCACAGAGCATGGTGAGTTCAACATCTGCTTGACTTGCCACGTGGCTTCCACTGCACAGTGGGCTCCCGTCAGAACAAGCCCACCTGGCCACATCCCTCATAGGGTTGATTCAGGAGATAACCCAGAAAAGCCCCAAGGCCAAGAGCCTCAAGAGAAAGCTTAAGAAATGCCACAAATTATGACATAATTATCCTCCTAATGTAGAGAGACTGCTCAATACAGTAGGAAAGAGTATTACTTTGGGAGACCTAAGAACCACAACCCCCAAATGTATTTGTTCAGCTGAGTTCCACACAAAGGCATGAGCTGGCAGGGACTGGGCAGAACCCCAGCCTGTACCTAGAGGCCCTTTTCTAGGTACATTCTATTCTGTGTCCCTGGGAGTTCTCCAAATGGTTGTCATGGGAACTTTATAGATGAAGGCCTAAAATTCTTGGTAAGAAGTTCCCATCTTAATGTAGTTTTTTTCTTTTTTTTATAAAGTTCTCTTGTATGGATTTTTAAAATACCTTTATTTTATTTTTCTGTGGTGCTAAGGCTCAAACCCAGTGCCTCACACCTGCTAGGCAAGCGCTAACCATTGAGCAACAACCTCAGCACTTTAATATAGTTCTTCCTTCAGTGTTACTAGTCTAGTGTCTGTTTTTTCTTTCTTTTGGGGAGACAATGTGGTGGGGGAAGAAACCATGTCTGGCTTCATGAAGGAACCTGTGAAGTACTGTATTTCAAGTGAAGCTGTCACTCTGAACAAGTGTGTCTCCATGAATGCTGGAGGAATGTGGTGGAGATATCAATGGGCCTGGTGGAGCCGCAGTTGCCCAGTGACAAGTGGTGGGGCTAAGAGTTATCTCAGGCTCTATTTTAGTCGAAGAACTATGCTCCTTACATGGTAAGGGCAGTGGTCATAATTGCT